AAAACCCAAATAACCAAAGACAGACAGACAGACAGACAGACAGACAGACAGACAGACAGACATACATACATACATACATATATATATATATATATATATATATATATATGGTTTTTTATTTGTGCTGATAAATAAATAATTATATATATATATATAATATATTATATATATATATATATAAGATAAGGTCTAATCAGAAGGTCAGCTAAGTAGCAAGCATCATCTGATCAAATAAATTTCATCTAAATATAGTTTTTATAACCCTTTTGAAATTGATTATAGAAATCCAGAGCAAACGGCAGGAAAGAAAAAGAAGAAGTACCGCCAACCCAGCTTACAGTGGACTCTTGGAAACTGAGGTAGCCCAATATTTAAACATTTTCAGTTTTGCTTTCATTTCTGGCCTATGCAAGTTTAAAGATATTACAAGTCAAAGGAAGGTGGGAAAGTCAAGATTGTACCTGGGACCATATGAGTGTTATTTTTTTCCGATATCCTTGACTTATGATCACAGTTGGGAGCAAAATATCAATTGCTAAGCAAGGCGGTGGGTTAAATGAGTTTTTACGATTGGGACCCAATTGATTATGACCCAATTTTATGATTTCTACAAAATATAAAATTACACAATCTTTGGGGAAAAAAAGGATAAAGAATACATTATTCTTTCAAAAATGGGAACAAATGCAAAGAAAATCATATGACGGGTTAATCCTTGAAGACCTAATACTAACATCCGTTGAAAAAATGACAAAAAGATGATGAATATTATTAATGAAATCAATAAGTATGTAGTAAGATATTAACTAATCTGAAGCAATAATATTACGGCCACTCAAACACAAGGTTTATCGCTATAATAAAAAAAAACTAAAAACAAAAAAAATTAAAAAGAAAATATAGAAGGCATAAAAAAGGAAAAGGAAAAGAAAAAAGAAAAGAAAAATAAGGATATATTAAAGATTATATGTGATTAATTCTGTAGTGTATATATATATATATATAATGAATGTGTGTGTATACTTCCTATTTCATCACAGCAAGTATAAACAATTTTAGTAGCATCACCTCATATTTATAAATTCTTAAGAACCTTGCCTTTTCAGTCCTCATTAGCAAAAGTCCATTAAGGGTTATTAGAGATAACAACATTATTTATTTTAGACCCGTTCAAATAAACCACGGTTTAACCCTAATCCTTTTACTTTTAACAATATTGATCTTTAGCCCCTTAAAATAATATTCTAAAACTTAGTTTTCTTTTCATTTTTTTCTGTTTTTCCTACTAACAAAATTCTTCAAAGCTTTTTTTTTTAAACCCTCTTTTGTAAATCCGACATAGGAAGATTATTCAGTTCACTCTCTTGGTTTGATATAAGTATATCCCTTTTAATTATTAAAATATTAGCTGGTTTCTAAGTCCAGCCTAGCATCTTTTTCTATATCATTTGTGTAGCTTGTCTTTTTTAAATCCACTTTCAGATCAGTATCAATTTAGTCCTGTAAAACTTGTTCGTCTTCCATAAGAACTTTTAAACGCAGTCTATCTGTTTAAAATTAAAGTTAATTTCATAATACATTGTTTAAAAATATTTTTTTCAGTTTGTTGAATGCTAAAATATTTTTGCTCCATTCCATGTTAGTAAGTCCAATGTTTGTGTTTTTCTCCTATAATAGTATAGCCTTTATTGTCATTATGTATACAATGAAATTGGTTAATCTTTAGTTTCTTCCAGCTCCCTCTAGTGCCCAACCTTCAAAGTTCCTTCCTACCGGTATCATTTTTTAAAAATCAAAACAAAAGCACTTTGCCACAGGAAGAATTCTTATGATTAATTGCAAAATCTTATTTCAAATTTACCTGTATCCTTAGTCCAGTTACAATTTTATAAACACAAAGTTGTAATCATCTTTTCGATGTTTATTCCATAAGAAAGAGTCTTTGAATCTGTATTTAGAACAGTGTTTCTCAACCTTGGTGACTTTAAGTCCTATGGACTTCAACTCCCAGAATTCCCCAGCCAGCTGTGCTGTGCTGGCTGGGGGATTCTGGGAGTTGAAGTCCACAGGACTTAAAGTCTCCAAGGTTGAGAAACCCTGATTTAGAAGCTTCTTTTTGTGGAGGATTGAAGGAAGTGCTCCTTGTGTTTTCACACTTGTCAATCCAAAGCTTCCTAATAGCTAAAAAGCAGTTAACAAGCAATTCCTGAAAGTAATTAGTAAAATAATTATGTGAGCTTAGTCTCCTTTCAGTGGTGTCAATCACAGTTTGAGTAAGATGGCTATTCCCTTGTCTTTCAGAGCTCTAATCCCACTAGTGTTGTGGCCTGCCAGCAGAGCTGGCAGCAGTCGGACAGTGAGGAGGTTCAGGAAGAACATGGCCCAGTCCTGGGGGCTGAGGAAAGCTCAGATGAGGGCTCTGCGTAGGAGGTAGAGAGGGAGCTAGACAGCAGTGAGGCAGAGGAACAGCTGGAGCCTGTTCCCAGTGTGCGCATACACAGAGCTGCCGGAAGACAAGAACAACTAAGAAAGCAGGGTTGACTTAGGAGTAAATCCAAACCTTGAAGATTCTTGGCCCCTCCAAAAGAGGAACGGATGGGGAGGGTCTTTTGCAGGAAACAATTTGTTCATTCGGTCGTTTCAAGAGTGGAAAGTTCTGTTTGTGACTATAAGAGACTCTGTGCCAAGTTTTGCCTTGCCCTGCATTTGGAAACTAGTTATTTGGTAGCTCTCCAAACGAGATAAGGTTCATGTTGATAAACATTCCTCTGAAAGACTGTTTGCTAAGCCTTGCTGACCGTGAATGAAAGGAATTCGCAGTTGTGTAAATAAAAGGGTTTTGCTGGGACCAAGACTCTGCTTTTTGCTTTTTAAGGAAGCCTGGGTCAGAACCAACTGGAGAATGTTGAACATGCTGAAGAAGGTTTTATTTTCCGTGGTAATTTCTGATTCAAAATGTTGACGCTAGTCAGGATTGTAACTTTGGAAGAAATGTCCATCTGGGTTCAGTTCCAAGTGGGAAGAAAAACACCGGAAACATGGAGGCTGATTGGAAAGATGGTTTAATGCAGAATCACCAAGCACGTGTGAGTCTGAGTAGCTGACTACATGGAGTGGAGAGTGAGGGTTTTTTAGCTTCCTGTTCCTGTGGCAAGAGCATATTTTCTATTGGTTGCTGTAGTCAGATTCCTATGTGGAGTCACGCCTGTCGGAATCAGGCCGGTGGAACCTCGAGCTGGTGAAATATCCTCAGGTGCCATATGAAGATCTTTTGTCTTGTACATAGGCTGGCACCAAAGTATCTGCTGGGGGCAAGGAGCTGAGGCTGAATTTCTGTTTCCTTAAAGATTTTTATTTCTCTTTTAGGGGAAATATTCTGTCTTTTTAATATTTCCTAAAATATTTAATTCTTCTAGGAGAGGGGTGGGTGCTCTAACTTTCTACAGAGGAGTGCTTTTCTCACCTGGTCCAGCTCCCTGCAAGACTGGAAATTTTCCAGACCAAAAGGAATTCGATGAACCTTAAATGTGGTTTATGGACTGAACCTGAATATTTCTGACAGATGTTCCAAATTTGTTTTTTGAATCAAAAGCATGGCAAGCATCACTAAATTTATGTTTTGGTTTTATACTACTGGTCGAGATCTGAGTTATAACACCAGCTGGTCTTCATGAGAGGTAAAGATATCACATGATAGGTGATACTTACCTGCTCCTTAGATATGTGGAAACGGGGATGGTTTTGTTTTTTTTAAAAAATTAGAGATTTGGAAATGCATCATTTGCATATTCTCAGCTCACAGGTTTGGTACAACATTGGAGAAAGAATTGATGGTATTTAAATGTGGAAACGAACTTATTTGCTAATTCCATTCTTTAACTTAAGACACCTCCAGGAAACTTATCTAAGTTTAGTAGTAGCAAATTTGACACAAAGGAAAAGTAAGAAGTGGGAAGAAAGTTGTTTCGAATTGTTCTTTTTCTCTGAATGTATTATGTCTAAAATTGCAGATAATTTTCAGGGTTAGATGCATTTATTAAACTTTCTTTGCTAAGAAGCTTTGCTTTGTGTATCATTCTATCACTGGCTTCTTAATTTCTAAATTGAGGATGACCTAGTATCTATCTGAGAAAAAAAGAATCCAGGTTGCAATTAGGATAGAATAGGAAGATAGATGATAGATAGATAGATAGATAGATAGATAGATAGATAGATAGATAGATAGATAGATAGATAGATAGATAGATAGAT